CTTTTACCCAACATGACTCTGGGGTTTGAGATCTATATTGCACATTATGTAGAAACTGATGTGTTAGAGAATCCACTCACCTGGCTGTCTGGGAAGGATAAAAACAGCCCCAATTACACCTGCAGAAGAGACAGCAAAGCTTTAGCAGTACTCACAGGATCGTCAAGCACATCTATCCCAATCAGGACACTGCTGGACCTCTACAAACTTCCACAGGTGAGTTTGGGAGGGGTGGGGACATGTGAAGCCATGTCTCCAATTTAGGGACATGTGGAAGAAAACATACAGAAGTGAATTTAAAAAATAACACCATCAGTTGGCTAACACATGGGTCCAACTGAGTGGCTGGCACATAGAAACTAATTAATAAATCCAAAATGTAACAAAGATGCAGAAGGTTAAAGGTTAATAAGTTAATAATATTGTATTGGAGGATGTACATATTTCTTGTTCATATTTATACTCTCCAAATCTGACAATACTGAGGGTTTCTTGTGTACTTTATTATTGTCTGCATTTTAAACTACTGATATTTATATTTAGGGATAACATAATTTGTTAGAATGGTTTTTGCTGCAATTTTAATACAGATTTATATGAGTATTAGGATGTTGAGTTTATTGACCATTTTTAATGAACAGTTAAATAACAATCTAAATTGCAGCCTGGCAGTGGAGTCTCATACCTGTATGAGTCCATGCCCACATGGACTCTGCCCCCCACTGGATAAAGAAGAGAGAAAGAATAAGCCCTATCTGAACCTCTCAAAATGAATGATCTCCAGGAAAGATAACAAAGTTGGGTGGGGCATCCACATTGTCTTTGTTGGAGAGGAAAAAAAAGGAGAAGTTCTAAGAGAGCAAAGGATGACCTCAGGCTGTGAGCCTGATCCATACATTTCTACAATTTAGATAGTGGGAGATGACTTTACAAATGGGATAAGCAAAACTTCACTCCCCCTCCCCACTGCCAGCTTTTGTTGTTGTTGTTGTTCAGATCAGGACTAAGTCTTTGACAATGACCATCCTCTTCCTGGTGTTGTGTTCATTTTTCTCCCTTTAGTTCACCTTTGGGTCTTTTGATCCTCTCCTGGGTGACCATAGACAGTTTGATGCTATCTATCAGATGGCTGCCAAGGACTCATCTTTAGCCCTGGCCATGGTCTCCTTGATGGTTCATTTCAGCTGGACCTGGGTGGGACTGTTCATCACCGAAGACGACTATGGTGTGTGGTTCCTCTCAGAATTGAGAGAGGAGATGGGCAGGAATGGAGTCTGTTTTGCCTTTGAGAACACAATCCAGACCAATGCAGTCTCCGATTTCTCAAGTGATCCATCAGTGTATCGCCATATTATAGAATCCTCAACCAACGTGATTATCATTTATGGAGACAGTGATTTTCTACTAAGCTTTATTCTTAAATTAGGGCATTTTTTAATTACAGGGAAAGTCTGGGTCATGAACTCACCTTATGATGATGTGA